CCTGGCAGAAGTCCTAGGAAAGAAGGGCTTTTGAGTCAGTCGGTTTGTCTCCGTGCTCCTTTCCTTCTTGGTAGGAGAAGGCAGGAGACCCTGGGTTCTTTCAGAAGCTGGGAATCTGGATCGTCGCCCCCCAGCTCTGAGTCCGGGGCGAGGGCTAAGCGTGCGGGAGTGGGATGGGAAACTGGACTGCTCTCCACCTCCTACTGATTTGAGTTCTCACACGGCGGCCTCATGTGTTGTGAATTATAGAAATGCCAGACACACCCACAATTAAATATAAGCACCCAAAGGCTCTTGAACGCCAGTGTTAAGGGACTTTGAATGCTCCCTTGTTCGCGCCGCCTCCACACGGCTCAGTTCCCTTACACCCAGTGGAGTGGAGCTTCTACCAGCATGCACCCCACTGGGCTGGCCTGTTTCTGCTGCTTTCCTTTACCTTTCTGCCGCCAGGAACTACGGTGGTGCTGGGATCACATTTTCCTTGCAAGGGCAGTGACCCTTCTTGTAGACATATTTCGTCTCTATGGGAGGTCTCTCTATGGTCAGAAAGGAACACACAGAAAATTCATTAAGCCCAATATCCAATCTCTTTCTGGGGTAATAGATGTCAGCGCTACTCGCTGAGATCTGAGTCAGAAATCTGCAGCCTCCTGTAGCTGAGTGCGGCTGAACTCATTGATCCAGCTGGCCGGCCACACGGACATGCAGTGCGGTGCCACCTCTCTCCTCAAGGGGCCCAGACCCTGCAATAGGCAGATGGCAGACACACACAGAGGGTGGCCGGGGCCTTCGTCTCTTCTGTCTGTTCTCTCCCCCACCCCATGCTGTTTGGTGGAGCAGGTTCTGGCAATGCATGGGGGGAAGGAGCCAGCGAGGAAGTGGGGTGGGGTGCACGTTTAAGCTGGGCTTTATCTTTTTTGGGCTTGTGAGTCTCTTTTGAAGTGATTTGGACCATAAAGAACAACGGTGCTTGTTTTTCATTTGGGAGGCTTCACAAGAAGCGTCTTAAGTGTTAAGAGACTCACTGAGGTTGGCGCGCTCTCTCTTCATGTGGTTCACAGTTCTCATGTTTTACTTATTTTTGATGTGGTGGCTGTAGCCAATGAAAGCTATTCCCCAACCCCCCTCCCCGGGCCCAGTTCAAAGTTATAAACTGAGAGTTTTGGGTTTCTGTCTTCAACGTTTCCTCTCTTTGAGGTCTGTGTAGGACTAAAAATGCCAGTTTTTCAGTCACTCCCAGAGCCTTCACAGGGGCCAGTGGATGGAAGGAACATGGGGGGACATTTGGCCTCCTGCCTTGGCAGGTATCCCTGAGTGCAGACCAGGTTCCAGGAACTATGCTAGGAGCTGAGGATGCTTTGGGCACTCCCAGCTTACCTGGGGACAGAGGGAGGACTCCACCATGCTCTCTTGAATGCCATCAACATCCTCTTAAATTGGCAAATCCAAAGACTCTTTTCAATTTTCATAATCCTTGACCTCCTTCCAGTTCTAGGTCCTGGTGACCCTCCCATCTTTATTCATTATTTTATTCAGTATGTACCTAATAAGTGGCTAGTTCATGTGCCATGGGGAGTGGCACAGCATCATGGTTAAAGGCAGGCTCTGGTGTCAGAGCGTCTGTTTGCACAGCCAGCCCTGACTTGCCTTAGATGTGCGACACAGGTAAGTTGTGCAGCCTCTCTGGGGCTCAGTTTCCTCACCTATTAAATGGAGTTAACAATATTACCTATCTCATAAGGTTTTGTGAAGATTAGATAATACAAGAGACATGTTTAGAACAGTGCCGTGGCACATCCTAGGTGCTCAATAAATAATGGTGACTGTTACTATGATTAGTATTATCACTGTGTTAAGCACTAGGGATATAGCTAATAGTCACGGTCTCTTCTCTCCCAGAGCTTACAGGCCAGTGATGCAGGCCAGTCATCCAACAGGTGAAAGTGAGTTGCTCCAGTGAAAACAGCCGGGACAGAGCTATGCTCTGATGAGCTGTGCTGCTCACTGTTCCGCATTCCCCGGTCTCTAACCCTTCTTTCTCTTTCTCCACCCCTGACTTGTCTTTCTCTTTTCTTCTACAATGTAACGACTCCACAGGATTCTGTCTTTATTTCTTTCTCATGCCCCCTACACCTACTTCCAGACTTTCCAATAGGGCTAGCAGAGAAGCCTCAGGATGCATCTGAATATTTCACAGCTGTCACCCAGGAGTCATCTGGGGCAGGGGTGGAGCAACTTACATGTGCAGGCTTCCTTGTGACAGGGAGGTGGCTACAGATGGCCTCCCTGCTCAGCAGTCAAGTCTCTTGCAAGTCACCTAAGCTCTCTACGATTCCGTTTACTCATCTCTAAAAAAGGAGAGAATCCCTTATGTGAGGTTAGTTGAATACACACATACATACACACATACCCAATGTACATATATATACATATATACACATATATGTTCTCAATTAAATATACAGTGTATATGTACATATAAACCTATATACATAAATATATGTTTATGTGTATATATGCATATATTTATACATATATACAGATACATACACACATACATATAAATTTTAGTATACATAGATGTGAAAAAATCTCAGTTCCATGCCTGACCAAAAATAAGCACTCAGTCATTGGTAGCTGTAGCTGTTATTACGAGCTGGAGCTTTTGTGTGGATTGTGGTTATTAAAGCACAGTTTCTGAAGTATGGAAAAGTAGCCCTGTACAGTGTAACTCAGCCTTGTGTAGTCACTAAGCAAGGAATATGGAGACAAAGTTGACCATGACAGGGTCATGTCCTTAATTGGATTCACAGGGCAGATTGGTGCACAGGTAACTATAACGCAAGCCATACTCTAGAAGACAATCAAATTGAGGAAGTCCAGAGGGGAAACAATTCTTCTCAGGCTGTCAGAGAAGGTATCTTGAAGCTCAGGCATTTGAACTTACAGAATCAGAAAAATAATCATGGGTGGATAGGGGTGGAGGGAGGGCATTCTTAGTGGAAGGCAGAAGAAAGTGTTTGAGCCAAGGCACAGGTTCAGGCAATCTTGTGGCTGGTTTGGACTCTAACCATCTGCTTGGAGTGCAGCAGACATTGAGGGGCTATTTCTGGAAAGGCAGACTGGAGTCTGCGGTAGAGGGTTTGAAGGCTGTTAAAGAGTTTGCAGCCAACCACACTTTTGAGCTACAAATGCATTGTCCTAGAATAACTCAAAGGATCCATCAGGAAGATCCTAGCTTTCAAGGAGAAGACAGATTTAACAACAGGAAGAGAATTTATAAAATAAGGAAATAAAACTGAGTTGAAGCAAGCCAGCAACAGCATCTTCTTTGTTTCTACTGGCAAAGGACTCTGACATTAATAGTCACAGTGCCATGGCTGCCATCAGATTAAAATTGTCAACAGATTTCTATGTGTAATAGAAACTTTAAACTTTTTTTATTACTTAAAAGAAAAACATGGAGCCAAAGCCACAGACATTTTGGTGTTATTAAGCTTTGGTATTTGAGCCTGGTTATGTTGAGGTAATAATCTCAACACCAATCTCTTTCCCCATCTGATCCATCTTCTGTACACAACAGAACTTTCCAATAGCTCCTTACTGCCGAATAAATAATTTTCAAACTCCTAAGTTTGATTTACATCCGCTTTACTCCTTTAGCCACTTCTCCTTGTGTTCCCCCTACCCCTGAAGATTTATATGTTGAAATCCTAATCCCCAGGATGGTATTGGGAGGTGGGCCTTTGGGAGGTGATTAGGTCCTAAGAGTGGAGCCCTCATGGAAGAGATGACTGTCCTTATAAAAGAGGCCCCAGAAAACTCCCTCATCCCTTCTGCCATGTGAGGACACAGTGAGAAGACAGCCATCTGTGAACCAGGAGGAAGAGGGCCCTCACCATACACAGCATCAGCTGGTGCTTTGATGTTGGGCTTTACAACCTTTAGAGCTGTAAGAAATACATTTCTGTTGCTTTTAAGCTGCCTGGTCCATGGTAACTTGTTACAGCAGCCTGAACAGGCTAACACACCTTGTTGTTCTTATGAGTCCTTACCCTGAATGTATTTAACTCCTCATAGTTGCTTGAGCATGCTCTGCTCCTGTCTGCTCCATGCTTTTGCAAATATGACTCCCTCTTTGTCTTCTTGGCCTAGTTAATCTCTTCTCTTTACCCAAAGCCCTTTTCTGAGGCCACCTCCTCTGAGCAGCTTTCCTAAACTCCTGTCTCAGGTGATGCTCCTCTTTGGCTCTCACATAGCAACCTGTGCCTGTGCTTGCAATTGCAACTCTTCCACCTTATTGCAATTGCCAGTTTAAGTTAACATCTTACCCACGTGCTCGCGAGCTCCTGAGGGGAAGAGCTGCTTCTCTCACCCTTATATCCTCAGTGCCTGGCACACAATATGGATTAGAAAAAATTGTTACCTAATTGATGAAGAGCAATTTGATAAGCCCAAAACATATTGTTCATCTCAATAAGGCATTAAGATATTTTCAAGGACTGGAGACAGCACCTAATCTTGAATACTTAGTATGAAAGAAATAAAATAATCCATCCTTCAGGAAAAGGCAGGGCCTTCTTGAGGATTTAAAAAATGTTAACTTTGACTGAGGTCAGTGTATAAATGTGGTCTTAGACTTTCTTGCTTCAAAATCAACAAATCTGTAGCTAAAAATTCAGATTTCTGTGCCCCTACTTTACATCTCCTAAATCAAATCCCTGGAGGATGGAACCTGGAAATAGGCATTTTTAACATGTTCCCTTAGTGATTCCGATCTACTCTCAAGCCTTGGAACCCCTGATGCAGGCAAAGTCTCAAGTCAATGCAATTGTAATATCAGTTTGGGAGCTTGAGAAGGGACAATGCACATCGATACAGTTTTTATGGTTCAAGAATTCTCAGTGATACTCAAACCACTAGAGTAAACTGTATCCCATGCAGGCCATAATAGGAGAGCAACTAGACTTCAGCATGAACTTTCTCTTTTGCTTCCTTAGTTCTGTGATTTTTGACACATTTAAAGAACAAGGAACGGGACCAAGATTTTCTGAATGTTACATTATCTGACTTGGGTATTGGAACAAGGACCATAGACATGAGCAGTCAGAACAACTTGACAGGCAAGTGAAGGTCATTAGAAATGGCCCCACCGTGGAGGGAGTGGGGAAGACCCGCGTCCCTCGATTTGCAAACAGAAATAAATAGACCACTCTGTAGGGCCCCAAGTAACAGTTTTCCAGTGTTTTGCCACTTTCTGGTTCCAAAGAGCAAACGATAAATCAACAGACAGGGGTTCTCAGCCTCCTCGTCAGAGGGCCTCCATCAGACTGTGGCCTTCCCTCAGGTTAGAGAAGATGGAGAAATCTGAGGTTGTGGTGACTCTGGTGTTACTCAGGTGTAGTTTCCATTGAAAACAGGAGACAGAGGGGGCTAGGGACATCTGGCTGGGCTTTTCTGTTCTATCTCTTACTGTACGAGAGGGTTGACCTGTTCCTAGCCTTGCTTCCAGCCTACTGTTTCCTCCCTGCGATAAACTGGTTCGGTTAGTGTAGAGAGGAAAGGCTGTGGGCCACATGGTAACTGAGACGAAAGGGAGCTAGGTGGTTGTGCCTCATCAGGGTGCTTTGCTAATAGGTGATTCTGGTAGCATGACATCACCATCTGGGGATAACACAGATGTGGAGGTAAAACTGTATTCAAGATAATGCTGTAACTGCAAGGAGACAAGAAACATCAACAAATAATAGAAGCAAGAGGTTGGAAATGTCCCTTATCTGTGAAACTAAACACAGAAAGAAAAACTGAGTATATGCTGCCAGATGGCTAAAGAGAAGATTAAGGGATGTGTCTCTGATGAATAAGGAGCTGTGATCTATTTCTTCATTTTATATATTTTTATTTTTTGAAATTGATAATGAGTTAGAAAAACCTTGGAGATTAAGTTGACCTAGAAGCAAAGGAGAACATTATTGTGTTTTTTTCTAGTCATTTCCCCCAACACTGAAGGTCAAAGAGACAAATTCTTTTTCTTTTCTTCTTTTCATTCATATACTTTCCCCTTTTGGCTTTAAATTTTGTCCTTGAAAATAAAATGGCTTTAGCTAATACAGGATTCTAATCACATTGTAAGACTATCATGATACAACTGTAACCTTTGACAGTGCAAATCTGCAAGAAGTGGCAAGATGCAGTGATTAATATTTACTGTGCAGGTACTTTAAAACTCATTTGCCCTGAAATAACCAAGAGAAAGTTCTGTATGATAGAACTTTATCTAAACTCTCACTTACCTTGTAACATCTTTAAATTCTTGCTAGTACAATCTAGAATAAAGGAAGTAAAGTCTAGAATAAAAAAAGTCAAGTAAAGACCCTCATAAAAAATATAAATCCTGGCTTATGTAAACTCAATGTATCTATCCAATTACCATAATAACAGAAAAAAACCCAAAAGCTAAAATAAGGGGTGATTGTTTGTATTTCCATTGATTTTTCAGATTTGCTGCAGGATTGTTTTAACCGAATATTCATCATAATTTACTTCTCCATTTTTTTTCTGCACACAAAGTTTAGGGATAGACTTAGCAAACAAAACAAGTATATATAATTACCCATTTGTTGAATCAACATGTCTCTTATAACTCTGTTCTTTGACTAGTTAGGTGTCACTTTTTCAGCTGTTGCTTTAAAAAACACTGATACCAGGCAGGTCTTCGTGACCCTACCAGACTGACAACCAAGGACTGTTGTGGTGTTTACATTTCTTGGGTAAGTACAGCTTATCTGCCTCACATGCTGTGGGTGTAAGATTCTGGAACATAATCTATTATATGACTCAGTATTGTTAAGCACTGAAGGACTTCATGTGTCCATAGCTAGTTAGATGCATGTTTGCCACACATGGCCTCGCCACATGTGGTAGCTTCCCACCTTGGCTAAACTCTCTCTCTTTTGCTTATCTCAGAAATGTGTTTCCAGACTTCTCAGTGAGAATGGCATTTGGGTACCTGTTATATTTCTAGTTGGCTATCCCTGAGTCATCAGGGTATGCCAAAGCATCACATGGCCTTTTATTGTGATGTTAGACTGAATGCGATAGATGTGATAGACTGAATCATATCCCCCAAAATTTGTATGTTGAAGTCTTAAGCCCCAATGTGACCATATCTGGAGACGGGGCCTTTAGGAGATAATAAAGCTTAAATGAGGTCATAAGAATGGGCCTCTAATCCAATAAGTCTATGGTCTTACAGGAAGAGGCAGAGCTCTCTCTCTCTCTCTTTCTGCCATGTGAAGGCACAATGAGAAGGCATAGTCTTCAAGTCAGGAGAGAGTCCGCACCAGAATCCAACCATGCTGGCACCCTGATCTTGGACTGCCAGTCTCCAGACCTGTGAACCAGTGAATTTCTGTTGTGAAAGCCAGCCAGTCTATAGTATTTTGTTATAGAATCCTGAAAAGACTATTACACATGTAAAACCTGGTAAAAAGAAACTGCTGAGAGGGAAATTTCTTCTAACTGAAAATACCTTGCCTCTTTCTATTCTATCTTGGAAATATTATTCCCTGTTTCTTCTACGGTGTTACGACTACTTGTGGAAAACCTAACAATTCTTATACTAATATACAACATATACTAAGCTGTCACTATAGCCTAAGCACTGCTTGTGCCGTAAGTGATTACGCAGTGTTTGGTATGTAAGCCAGACGCTGGTCTAAATTATATTAAAATGTTAATTTTTATAACAACTCAGGTTGTTAATATTATCACCCCCATTTTACACAGGGGTAACTAATGTTAAAAAAAAAAAAAGGTTGTTTTGCCAAGGTTATCAATAAGCAAGCTGCAGAGCTTAGATTTGAACCACGAAAGTGGTTTCAGAGTCCAGACTGTTAACCCTTCTGTTATCTTGCCTATGAAAAGTTTGTTATAGCTCTTAAACCACACCACAGTCCTACAAGGCAGCTGTTATTAGTTTCCTTATTTTGCTGATGGAGAAACTGAGGTACAGAATGGTCATGTAATTTTTCCAGTATCAGACAGTCCAACCTGAGCCAGATAATTCTAGAAGCATCCAGCCTTTTCTCCTCTGTGGGTCACCTCAAGATGACAAGGCTGGAGGCTGACTGGCTTCTGCAGGTGGTATTTAAGAACTTCCATGCAAAGGGTCGAGGTGGTTAACAGCTACTGAAGAAGAGGGTGTGTGTTTCAGAGAAGCAGACAGAGGTTTGTAATATTTTCCAGGCTGTGGGTACCAGATCTATGCCCTACTGAGTTCCGTATGCTTTACCCAGGGACTACTGTCTCAGAGGCAGTGAGAGAATTCAAATCTGGGCTCTGACTGTCAGATTCCATGTGTTCAGGAGTCAAAGCTTCATCTGGAGCTGGAACAACTTCTCTGGTTCAAAGTCTGCAGTGCACCTGCAGATTTCCCATTAAACTGCCTGCTGAATCAGGAATAATGATTCTCAGGGGGAAGAGATATTATTTGCATTTGAATTAATGTTGAGTTCGGAGTCACAGATTCCTCATCAAGAAGGATTTAGAGCAATTGCTGATATCCTGGGGATCTGTGACCAGCTCATTATTTTCATCTCACAGGGTAGTACTAGCATTTTTAATTTTTTTCAAGTCTTCTTTCGAAAGTTTGGCTCTCTTTATCCCCATGATCATAATTATAATAATTTTGAAACATCAGTCTGCTCAGATATCAAGGTGTTGAACGGATAATTTCACTTTAATGAATTTGTCTCATATGGGCTTATTTTCCACATCTGTCCTAAGCTGAATAGCTAACTGGTTAATATGAGAACTGTTCCGTTTCATTAGCTTCTCCCTGTTGATTTCCTTGAGGTGGAACTGATGCATTGCCAGTTGCAAGCTCTGTCAGCTCTTTCCTTTTAGGCAAAGCACGCATCCAAATTCTATTCTAAGGCACTGATGCCAACTAAGAAGAATAAAAAATGAAATAGTTTGATCATCCAGATAAACTGCAGGATTCCATATACCCAGTGGCTTCTGAGAGATTAGCAAGTACTTGATACAAACGTCATAAACCCTTGTACCTGAGGTTGTGGTGGGTAAATCGTACAAGTAAGGCCACAGAGCCCTGGCAGGGATGGGTGTGGGCTGAGGAGTAGAGAGTGAGAAAGAGGTTTGGCTGGTGAACTCGGGAAGGGAGAGGACAGGGAAAAAGAAGGAAATAGAGTGGCAGTGGACCCAGGAGGCCTTGGTGAAGGTTTTGAGTTGGAGTATAACATTTCCAACCTTTTAGCACTTTGGGAGGCCAAGGCAGGTGGATCACCTGAGGTCAGGAGTTCAAGACCAGCCTGGCCAACATGGTGAAACCCCATCTCTACTAAAAATACAAAAAATTAGGCAGGCGTGGTGGCGGGCACCTGTAATCCCAGCTATTCAGGAGGCTGAGGCAGGAGAATCGCTTGAATGTGGGGGGTGGAGGTTGTGGTGAGCCGAGATTGTGCCATTGCACTCCAGCCTGGGCAACAAGAGCAAAACTCCATCTCAGAAAAAAAAAAAAAAAATCTAACCTTTTAGGAAGGATTGTGGCAGTGGCTAGGAGGGTATTTTGGGAAGGAGTTTAAGGTGAATGAAACTGTTAGTGGATTACTTAACCTCCTGGAGAGAGAAGGGTGGTGCCTCCTTCATGGGGCACTAAGTTCAGCTAAGATGGATAAATGATCAGTTAGGATGCTCTGTCTCTAAATGAGAAGATGACAAACAAGAAACAGGCAGATCACCTCTCACAGCAAGAACCAGAGTGCACTTAAGGCCTAGATGATTCCAGACTCTGTTCACAAGGACCCAGGTTCTTTCTGTCGTTCTGCTCCGATGTCCTTGGCAGTGGTTTCATTCTCAAGCTTGTTCTCCTCTAGGCCATATGATGACTCCCAGAAAAGATTGGGGCTGCACGCTTCCTTGCTCACTTTCCTAGGGCAGGGGAAGGGGAGACTCTATCTTCATTCATGGGAGAAAAATTCTTCATTTAGAGTCTGATTGGGCCAATTTGGCCAAGAGACAGAGAAAGAATCAAGCACATATGAGGCCTTGTGCCAGAATCCTTGTGCATCTTCCTTCCTGTCAAGTGGCAGCATGGATGACAAGCTGTAGGATGTGCCTGTGTGGCTCTCCCTGCACCCACCAAGTTGTTCCAGCTATGAAGTAAATAAAGGTGACACCACGGCCAGCAGGAAACGAGCTGCCAGGCCATTCCAGAGAGACTTGAAACTCCTGATGGGGCATAAAGGGTTAAGCAAGTTTGACAGCCTCCTTGTCAGGGGAAATGGAAGACAGTGAAAAGGATGGAAGATACTAGTTTAGTGGTAAGGAGGCCACTTAATGAGTTTAATGCCAGTCCAACTTTAAACTAGAGCAGCTTCTCAACCTCAGTACTGTGCTACTCACAGCTCGGAGTTGGACGTTTCTCCATCGTGGCGGGCTGTCCATGATGGAGAAACACATAAAGGATGTGTGGCAGCATCCTTGGTCTCTACCCACTAGGTGCCAGTAGCATCCCTCCTCCCCCAGTGTACAACCAAAAACATCTCCAGAACATTGCCAATGTGCCCCGTTGAGATTTTTGTGCCCTCATTGAGAACCACTGCCTTAGAGTGAGGCAGGAACTCAAGTGGCCAGGAATTATGGAGTTGGTTAGATGCTTCTCTCTAAAATGTTGAGGGACTGACAAAGATGACCAACAACGTACAGATTGCCTTACAGCTGCAGAACTAACTTTGTGCCCACGTGTGAGGAAACTTCCAAAGGAGGTTTTAGGATCAAGAAGCCATCTGATTAAAGCACTGACCAGGGCCAGGTTATGCAAAAAGGAGTATAGGGATTGATTGAGAACTGCATGGAATATAACTAAATAAGCATGAACAGAAACCTGTATTGCATGTGTATAAAGATGATAACGCTGAAGACAGGACTACAAGTTGCTATGTACCTGGTAAGTGACAGGAACTGTGGCAAACACAGATTATACCCAATTTAGAATCCCACAACTACCCTGCAAGGTGACAGTTGCCCTCATTTTATAGATGAGGAATCTGAGGGTTAGGCAGGCCCTGTGACCTACTCAAGCTTCCGCCACCAGTTGTGGTGGAGACAGGCTAAACCCCAGTTCTGTCTAATTCCAAAGGCTGTGCTGTTTTTTCTACAACATATTATATATGATCAGAATGTGGAGTGTGTGTTCCACATAAACTACCATGAGAACTCAATTACCATGTATTGAGTGTATTATATACATACATATCAAATATGTATATCATATATGTATATAGGTAGAGATGCTCTTAATGCATAAGATCACGTGGTAGCTCACAAAACTTTATTAAATTCATAAAGCAGCTGATATTTACTATTAGAACCCCAAAACCCTCATTTGCTGGGAGTTCAGAGTCCTGAGACCCCTTGAGCTCTTTTGAATCCAAGATAGGAGGAGATTGGGTCGTAGCAGCCGGCCAGCAGCTGTGTGTGGAAAGGGTTTGCTGCAGGGGCCGGCACTGGGAAGGAGCCCCCTAGGCAAAGTCTGTCCTTCTCCTCCTTCTCCTTCTCCTCCTCCTCCTCCTTCCTTTTTTTTTTTTTTTTTTTTTTATCATGGAGTCTTGCTCTGTCACCCAGGCTGGAGTGCCATGGCATGA